GCTGGCTGCCGGAGGAGTTCCACCTCAGCCTCTCGCAGTGTGTGGTGCTGCGCTACCACTGGATAGACCCCTTCGTCCGCTCCCTTAGGGAGCGCCTGGCCTCCTTCCACAGGTAGGGACGGCGGAGCCCCGTGGAGTGCTCCCCACGCCCTGCCCTCCCCCGCCGGGCCTGTGCTGCACCAGCATCCCCACCCTAACTCGGCTCCGGGAGCTGGTGCTGCACCAGCAAGGCCCGGGGGCGTTTTCCTCTCCGCCTCGGGATCTGGCACTGGACAAGTCAGGTCTTGGCTTCCAAGGATGAGGCCGGAGCTGTGCCATCCTATCAACCACAGATGGCTTCACTGCTTACATCTGGCTTGGGCGCCTGCTGAGCATTGGCTGCTTCAGGGCTTCTGTCGCCATCCAGGCTCCAGCGGGCTGGAAACCCTCGGGGAAAGGATTAATCAATGGACTAATTAGAGCCCAAGAAGGGTTCTGGTTGTACCGATTCGGTCTGACTGCAGCATGCGTTTGCCTTTATCTTTCCACAGCTTGGTGCAAATCCTGTCCCCTCCCCATCTTCTGTTTTTTTTCTTTCTTTTTTTTCCCTACTAGCTGAAACAGGATCTTTCTTATTTCAGGTTTTTCTGCGTGGCTGACCAAGTGAAGGTTTACACCAACCAGAACAAAACCCGGTGAGCCAACAGCGGGGTGGCCTGCCAGCCAGGGGAGAAGACTGGGCAAGGGGCTGGGTGGGCAGGCAACGTCACCCTGCCCGTCCCACGGTGACCGGGCTGAGCTGTGCAACGGGGCAGCATGTGATCACCTCATCTCCAGAGGTCTCACACCTTTCCGCAGCCACTTGCACAAATTTTTAGCTTCAGCGCTGATTCACTGCAGGCCGTTGGTCTCGTTAGTGGTGGGTGAGCCTCAGGCTGCAGGATCTCAGTCTTCTGAAGAGAAGGTCATGTTCACAGCATGGCCTGAGGCAGGCCTTTCTGCAGGGGTTGGCTTTGTGCTACGGTTTCACGGCAGCTAAAGGAGGCTGCCGCCTTCGCTGCCATGTCCATCTGGTTTGTTCTGAGGTTTCACAAACCCTCCTGACAGCGCAAGCAGCGGAGCCGGGGGCCACCTCTTTTGGCAGCAGTGCCAGTTGTGAAAGTCTAGTTCATAGAATCATGGAATTGTTTAGGTTGGAAAAGACCTTTAAGGTCATCAGGTCCAACCGTTCAGGTTTTCCAAGAGCTGGAGAGAAATAGCTTGGACAGTGCTGGCTCTCCTGGGTGTCAGCTCGAAAGCCTGATTCCAACTGGACGCCATTAAATAGTTTAAATGTCAAAGCAAAGATGATTAAAATTGTGAAGAGTGGCTGAGTCTGGTGGGAATGGCAGCCCACGATAATCATGGGTGGGACGAAGTGGATCTCGGGTGAGGCTTAGCCTTCCCCTCCCCTCCTGGAGTCTGGAAAGCATCATCCAGACGGCCCTTGAGGAGGAACCTTGGTCACGTCTCACTGGCTTGGTACTTCCTGTTCCCGCTCCCTCTCCCACCGTGAAACCCCTCCGGCAACTTCCGGGCTTTGAGCGCCACTCCTGCGGGATGGCGCCCCACTGGCACGCCCATCGAGTGCATCCTCTGCCTGGAAAATGAGTTTCATGTCCCAAAAGGTGCTGAGTTAACCTAGTACATCTGCGTGGTGCATCACCCAGTCCTGCTTCCCCCTGCTGCCACGTTTTCATTTCTGCTTTTCTTTAGAATGCAGACCCTTCGTTCCTCAGATTGTCTTTTGTGAGGGGATAGGGAATTTGCCCGGTAGAAATGCGGGGCTAAGCGTGCTTGCAGCTCGGCTTTCTGCAGTGTGAGACGGTGCTTGCTGTCTCTCCTTTAGGACCTTCATTGGCTTGGAGGTCTCTGCTGGGCATTTCCAGCTGCTGGAGCTGGTCTCGGAGGTGGACAGAGTTCTGGAGGAATTTGACCTTCCCACATTCTACAAGGTGAGGAGTCTCCCACTTCCTTGCCGGTACATAGATGATGGCTGGTTCCTTGTGAGAGGTCCATGAAATGTTCACCCCACATAAACAGGAGCAGGGAGGTTAGATGCTGAAACGGTCTCCCCCGAGCCGGTTGGTGATGCTCACACTTAACACCCCCAATGCGATCTTGCTGAGAATGGGACCAGCACCCATCTGTGCCTTCTGTATCACATCCTGGTGCCGTGGTTTAACCCGGTGGGCAGCTGAACACCATGCAGCTGTTTGCTCGTCATCTGCCCTCCCCAGTGGGGTGGGGGAGAAAACTGGGAAGAAAAAGTAGTAAGCAGCTTAAAAGGACAAGAAAAGGAAGGGAAATTAATAATAATAATAATGATAAAAGAATGTATAAAACAACTGATGTACAGTGCAGTTGCTCACCACCCACTGACCAAAGCCCAGCCAGTTCCCAAGCAGTGAACGCTGCCCCCAGCCAGCTTTCCTCTAGCATAGACACTGAGGATGATGTCATACGGTATGTAATACCCCTTTGGCCAGCGTGGGTCAGCCGCCCCGGCTGTGCCCCCTCCAGCTTCTCTGGCACTTCCAGCCTTTTCAGTTGGAGCATGAGAAGCTGAAAGGGCCTTGACTTAGTGTGAGTGCTGCTTAGCAACAACTGAGCCATCAGGGTGTTACCAACATTATTCTCCTACTAAACCCAAACCACAGCACTGTGCCCACTACTGGGAAGAAAATTAACTCTACCCCAGCTGAAACCTCTGCAGTCGAGCAAGGACGTTAACGATCTGGTGGCCTCCTGAGAATCAGGTTTCCAAGGCGAAGGGCCAGACTGTAAGTCATGGTCGCTGCCCCGCTGTGCATTGTCCTAGGATGGAATGGGCTTAGGGTGAGCAGCATGGGACTGAGGGCGATGCTCGTGCCTCTTCCTCAGGCAGATTCCTGGGGCATCGGTCCAGCCTCTTTGCTTGGCACTAAGCTTTGGGGATGGGTTTTGGACTTTGAAGGGCCAAACCCTGATTTCTCTGTCTCCAGAGCTGAGCAGGGAGCTCCTGTGGGTGTCACGTACCTGCTCCAGGACTGTCCGTGAGGGGTTGGTTCTCCGTGCAGTTGGAAAAGCTCCTGCAGAGTTGAGCACAGGGAGGCTGGAAGGGCAGCCCCACGCCAGATCTCCTGCTGTGGCTGCGCACGTTGAGCAAAGCCTCCTTTAGCCCTCAAGGTCAGATCCCTGTTTTGTCTGCAGGACCCCTCTTTCCACATCAGCTTGGCCTGGTGCGTCGGGGACCTCTCTGGCAGGCTGGGAGGGGGGTGGGTGGCGGG